TGTGTTTGTGTGTGTGTGTGTGAGAGAGTGTGTGTGTGTGTGAGAGAGAGTGTGTGTGTGTGTGTGTGTGTGTGAGAGAGAGTGTGTGTGTGAGCAGCGTCATAATTCAAATAAAGATGCCTGAGATTATGAAAAGGATAAATCTTTTTTTTTAAAAACGAATAAATAAATAAGTTTAAAAACATTAAACATCTTAAAAATCTTAGTATTATTTGTTGTTTTCATACATATTTTAAAAAATCTTTACACTATTTTAAATAAAATTCAATTTAATTACTAAAAAAATGTAAAGTGGTAAAACAACTAAAAAGTAATATTTAATAGTTTAATATATATTTATTTGACATTTATAAAACTACTATTTATATTGATTAATATTTAAAAAATACTACTACTAGGTAAAAAGTATTTTTTCAAATATGAATTTCAATATCACATTTAATGTTTTCAGACAAAATAAATGTAATATTAACAATACTGTAAACAATAATGCTTAATTATGTAAAATTTATTATGCAAAACAAAATTATTTTTACATTTATTTTTGTGTATAATTACCTTTTTTATTACAAACTCAAGACGGATATTTTATTGTCAGCACAAAAAGGGAATAAGCAGAATTCATGTAGTATATCACAACTCTTATTTGAGATTAATTATTATTTATTATTTATTCCCTGTGATGGGACTCAAACTCACCACAGGTCTGTGAACATCCCAGAAGGCCCGCTCCTGACTGTCCAGGATCTTCCGCTCGATCTTGTCCCGTTTTTTGTCCACTCTGACGGGAGAGAGAAAGTGATGTGAGCTCACACACACACACACACACACTCACTCACTCACTCACTCACTCACTCACTCACTCACTCACTCACTCACTCACTCACTCACTCACTCACTCACTCACTCACTCACTCACTCACTCACTCACTCACTCACTCACTCACTCACTCACTCACTCACTCACTCACTCACTCACTCACTCACTCACTCACTCACTCACTCACTCACTCACTCACTCACTCACTCACTCACTCACTCACTCACTCACTCACTCACTCACTCACTCACTCACTCACTCACTCACTCACTCACTCACTCACTCACTCACTCACTCACTCACTCAC